ATAAAATCCTCTTGATTTTCACATATGACGTTGTTTGCAGTCTTTTTTTCAATTAGCTTGTGCTAAGAATGACCCTGTCCCTCTTGAAAAATAGCTTGTCCCTGCTAAGTGAGCATATGTGAGTCTACAGAGCAAAATATTAAATAAGCTCACCAGGTTTTAACTAGCCATTGAGCAAGGTGTTTTGGGGAACGGATATTTGTGTACCAGTGGATGGTTTGGGGGGGGGGCTGGGGCAGCGGGAAGAACAGGCTCTTTCAAGTCCAGGTGCTGCTCCTTGATGAGGTACTTCCCTCTTTGGTGTCTATCCCACTAACCTATAAAACGGGGAGGTGGAAACCCAATGGCATTTAATGTCCCTTCAGCTCTGAATTTTGTAACTGGCTCTTCTTAGTGCCATAGGAAGCAGTGGAGAGAGAGGGCACGCTGAGCTCTGGCATAGAAAACCTGCATTTTGGGGCCCCTGGGTGGCTAAGTGGGTTGAGCATCTAACTCTTCATTTTGGCTCAGGCCATGATCTCATGGTTCAGGGGATCAAGCCCCATGTTGGGCTCTGTGCTGACAGCATGGAGCCCGCTGGAGATTCTCTCTCTCTGCCCATCCCCTGCTCTCTCTTTCTCAAAATAAACTTAAAAAAAGAAAACCTGAATTTTAACAATTCTACTGATTAGATGCTCAGAGCATGTTTGTAGGATGTGAATGAAAGAACTATTTACATGAAACTGCTTTCTCAACTATATGAAGAAAAGTGATAGAATTAGTGTTACTAGTAAAGGTGATCTAGCTATTCAGAACTAAAAAAAAAAATTGCTGGAAACAGAATTTTCACTAACAAATTGTGTGGACTTAAAGTGAACCATGCAGAAGTCAGGAATTTTCTATCATTCACTGGGCTTATTCGGGTTCTCCAGAGAAACGTTCACTGGGCTTATTCGGGTTCACCAGAGAAACAGAATGAATAAGATATCTAGATAGAGACTTACATAAGAAGAGACTTATAAAAAAAAAAAAAAAAAGAGACTTATAAGGGGGCGCCTGGGTGGCTCAGTCGGTTAAGCGTCCGACTTCGGCTCAGGTCATGATCTCACAGTTCGTGGGTTCGAGCCCCGCGTTGGGCTCTGTGCTGACAGCTAGCTCAGAGCCTGAAGCCTGTTTCAGATTCTGTGTCTCCTTCTCTCTCTGATCCTCCCCTGCTCACACTGTCTCTCTTTCTCAGGAATAAAACATTAAAAAATTTAAAAAAAAAAAAAAAAAAAAGGAGACTTAATAGGAATTGGCTACTGTGGTTATGGAAGCCAAGAAGTCCCACAGTTTGCCATCTGCCAGCTAGAGAACCACGAAAACCATTGGTATAAGTCTGTCAAAGTCCAAAGGTCTGAGAATCAGGAGAGCTGATGGTTTAACTTCCAGTCCAAGGTCAGAGGCCCAAGAACCGGGAGCTCTGGTATCTGAGAGCAGAAGATGAACATCGCAGCTCAAGCAGAGAGAGTGAATCTGCCCTTCCTTTGCCTTGTTCCATTTGGGCCCCCAAAAGATTGAATGATGCCCACCTACATTAATGAGGATAGGTTTTTTTATTCATTCCATTGAGTCAACTGCTAATCTTCCAGGAACACTCTCACAGACACACCCAGAAATAACGTTTTTCCAGCTATCTGGATATCCCTTAGGCCTGTCAAGTTGACACAAAATTAACCATCACAAGTGAGCTCACAGTTGACAGATGAGTTGGATGAGGCTCCCCAAATTGCCTCATCCACCCAATTCCCCATCCAGGGGCCCTTCAGCACCAGAATGTCCAGATGCCAAACAGAATGTGCAAGAATGATGCTTTCTTTTAGAAACAGTTTTTCTTTTTGCATTGCTTTCTTTTTATGTATTTATTTTGAGAGAGAGAAAGCCCACGTGTGTGAAGGGGAAGCGGCAGAGAGGGAGGAAGGCTCCCTAGAAATTAGGATGATATGCCTAGGTAAACTCAGTAAAACAATTCAAAAGGAAAACACTAAACATATATAGAAATATGTTCAGAGTTGGAAACTCTGATCGGCAAAGTACTGAACAGTGTTCTATGAATTAGTACTAAAACTAGCACTTTTTGCAGAGTTCAGTGACCATTAAAAATGAAACCACCTGAACATTTTATAAGAACATTTTATTCTAGGGAATAAAATTTCATCTACCGTAATAATATACCTTAACATTTGTGATCAAAGTGTTAAATATTAGCTTACAGTAGATTGCCCTGGCCCCAGTAAACTGTTAACTTTCTTAAATGTTTATTATTTTTGTGAGAGAGAGCATGTGCACATGAGCGGGGAAGGGGCAGAGAGAGGGAGACAGGCTCCCTCCACAGGGAGGCTCCAAAGCAGGCTCCGTGCTGAGAGCAGACAACCTGATGTGGGGCTCAAACTCATGAACCGCGAGATCATGACCTGACCTGAAGCTGGATGCTTAACTGACTGAGCCACCCAGGCGCCCAATTGCTAACTCTCTAGTAACGCGTAATATAAAGAACGCTGTGGAAATCACTGGCCTGAGCTCCAGCTCTGAATGGGACCCGGCAGCAGTCATGAACTCTTGGGAGCTTGATGCCCCCTGTTGAAAACAGGACAGCGATATCTATACTGCTGACCTCAGGGATGTGAGAATCACAAGAGAAAATGTGCAAACACCTTGGAAATGTGGAAATAAGCAGTGTGACATGTGGTCAGATCACTCCTCACACTTCCTGGACCCAATCATAACAATTCTGAGGGTCATAGGGGCAAAAGCCATCATGTTTGTGCCAACATTTTCTGAGGCCAACCACCTGACTCTCCTGAACCTTCCAGCTCCACGTCTGGAATGCTCTCCCCAGCTCTTGGGGATGGCAGCCGGCTGGGCACAAAGAAACACTAGTATCCAGGAGAAGAGAGAAGAATGATAGCAGCAGACCAGAGAAGGGGGTGGGATAGGAGATAAAGGCCATAGGATTGTCTCCTTTTTTAGGCATATAAAAGCTTTGAGGGACTTCTGTTTCAATTTAATACCATGAAAATTTTCAGTTCTTAACTTTATGACCCCGGTTCTTAACTATTTTTGTTTACATAAGCAGTGTGCATCCTCAGAATGAAAAACGGCATCACCGGGATAGGAAGCCACCTCGCACTGCCAACACTTCCTGACTGCTGTCCCACCACAACCACACACATAACTCCTGAGAGAGCCCCTCTGTGGCTGTTGCCGCCGACTCCAGAATTCGAAAAGCACGGAAGAGGTTAGGGCAGTTCTTGCATCATTTCAGGCTCACCCCAACACAACAAAGAAGGGATTGTGTGTGCTGCTTTTGTGCAGCTTCCTGATTGCCGGGCAGCCTCCAGGCCCCGCGGGCTTGTGCAATTGGTCTAAAAGGTTCTGCGCGGGCACACGATCTCTCGGCTGAGCAGACTGCCCTGAGCCAAATCCGGTGTGCACATCCCGTTCGGGTCACCGCCCCGTGGAAGGCGGGCTCTGGAGGCCTGGCAGGTAGAAGCAGTGGGGGCCAAAAGCTCTTGGGTCCTCCACCTCCCTGTGGACGGCTCTGCAGCTCGGGCGCACCGCGGGGGGCGGCTTGCAGCCCTGGCATGCCCGGTCCTGCCCGGGGCTCAGCGCGGCTGCAAGTGTGAGTGCCACGGAGAGCTGCCGGCCAGCAACCTCGCCCAGGAAACAACCGCCTCTTTGTCTGGAATCTCATGTTAACATTGCCAAACCTACTTCACATCTCTCCTCCTGCAGCTTGGGTCTGGGAAGAAATCTGATTCATCTGATTTGACTATTTGGCTAAATAATAATACCCGATTCTTTGGCCAAATCTGACTATTTGGTTTAATCATAAACTTAAATTAATTTCTGTCAAATCCCTTTACTTAAATTATTTATTTAAATTCTACGTTTAAATTGTATTGAAATATAAATTATAAATTGAAACTTATGAAATATAGATTATTTTTCATATAATTTCCTATATTAAACCGTTCTGGCCTTTTCTACTTCATTAGCCACTGCACACCTCTTCCTAAACCTGTGCTTTATCCTCTCCCAAGTTTCTACAGGGAGGATATATAATGACTTCCTTTTTTTTTTTTTTTCTAATTTTTTTATTTTGATGGGTGGGAAAGGAGCAGAGAGAGAAGAAGAGAGAATCCCAAGCAGGCTCCACACTGTCAGCACAGAACCCGATGCTGGGCTCGATTACATGAACCGTGAGATCATGACCTGAACCAAAATCAAGAGTCAGATGCTTAACTGAGCCACCCAGGGGCCCCAATAATTGCATAATTTCAAAGCATGTTCTGAAATGTCTCTTTCTTGGCACTGCCCAAAATAAACATAAACCCGGCTTTCAGGTCTTTTCAAGTCATCTGTTAAGAAAGAAATCGTTCATATCGGCTTTTAGGAGGCATTTCTTAATTCCTGTAAGGCAAAGTGCTGATCTTCATTTGGGATGAGTAAAATGTGTAATTAGTTCTTTGACTTCATGCAGTTGTCGAATATCTGTTTTTGAAGGTCACTACTTTTGTTTTAAGGCTCTTTTTTTTTTTTTTTTTGAGACAGAGAGAACACACACAAGTGAGCAGGAGAGGGGCAGAGGGAGAAGAAGAGAGAATTTTCAGCAGGCTCCATGCCCAATGCAGTCCAAAGGGAGGCTGGATCCCACAACTGTGAGATCATGACCCGGGCCAAAAACAAGTGTCAGACACTTAACTGACTGACCCACCCAGGTGCTCCAAGGCTCCATTTTTTTAAAAGCCTCTGTAACATTACCTATATGACAAATTCCAAGAGCTAATAAAAGCACATCCAGCCCTCTCCAGTGGGAGGGTTAGTGGGGGCTTAGTGATGACAAGCACTATGCCCTGTGATCAAGGGGGTCTCCAACCCCTTGGTTCCTTGCCTGCCTGTTATTTCTACTCAGACACTTAAAGGTGCTTGAAATATTAGATACTGAAATACATCACAGGCAGAACTGACAATGCCACAAGTATGTTCTAATACATGGATAAACTTTTATTTACCTACCACAGGGAAAACCAATATTCACCTAAAGCTACCTAACCCATATTTCCAACAGTGAAGCTGTTTAATTTACTATCCGCCTTTAAAAGGCTTCAAATAAAATATAGCTAGGAAAATACATAAAGAATTCAGATTATTAAACTCTCCACATAATTAATGGTCATAACAATACTAGGACTGCAGTTAAAAAAAAAAGCAATTTTCCATATTTCCTTGGAAGTACAGATAATCAGCACCAACTCTATATATTAAGTTGTCATAGGCAATTTGAAGCAAACAGTATCAAACTGTATAACTTTTCAAAATTAACCGAACTTGTTACAAACTGTCTAAAAATTGGTATTATTCTTCCAGTTCTCCTAAAAGCTCTACAAAATCAGTGATGTACCATTCAGCGTTGTCTTTTACTTGTTGTCTGATCACATTTCCTCCAAATCCAATGAAAACATCCTAAGAAAGGGGAAAAAAAGGGCAGGTTAAAAAAAAGATAAAGCAGCATCCGGGGCAGTAAGTGTAGTTTGAAAGAATTAACTGTTCTGCAAAACAGCCCAGCCTCAAGGGAGGCTCCCTGGGAGCCTCCTTGCCTCCCACCTCAGAATGAATGAGTGAGAATGAATGAGTCAGTGCACCAGCTGCTGCAAATCCCATCAGGCCAGCAGGCACTGCAGGCTTCCAGGAGAACTGAAGCCCTCCAAAAACCAATACAATTGCTTACAAAGATAACATTGCATCTGAGTTCTAAACTGGATGCAGTCACAACCAGTCCAGGCAATCTCAAAAGAGGGAAGAATAAAGAGAAGCCTGTAGTGCAGTGGAGATCCCACTCCCCTAGAATCAGGACCGGAGCAGGCATCTCCTGACGGGTGCCCTGGCGTGAACCTGACGGACCTCCCTCCCAGGGCGGGCGTTATTCTGGACTGAAGCAGATGACAGCCCCACGATCTGCCTCCAGCACTCCACTTTCCATCATTAAAATTATTGAAGATTATGTCGTTTCCTTAGTTTCTCCCGAGCGATACCTTCTTGTAGTCATTTTTAAAATAGTATTTTCGCGGAGCTCCTGGGTGGCTCAATTGGTTAAGCACCAGACTCTTGGTTTCGGCTCAGGTCATGATCTCATGGTTTTGTGGGTTCAAGCCCCGCATCAGGCTCTGTGCTGGCAGTGCGGAGCCTGCTTGGGATTCTCTCTCCCTCTCTGTCTTCCCCTTCCTTGCTCACTCTGTCTCTCTCAAATAAATAAATAAAACTTAAAAAAAAAAAAGCATTTTCTTTTTTTCCACCAGGATATAGACACTGTATACATAATTTGGAAGTTCAAAATTCTTTTACTTGCCTTTTCTCTTCATTTTAGTTTTCATACCACACAAGGAGCAACAAATGAGATTCTTACCTTCCAGTTATTTAAATGGAGCCTCTTAACTGAGCTTCCTGCCTCTGTGGCAGCCTTTTCTGCATGTCAGCACCCACTCAGGGTCCTAACACACCGACTCACTGCTTCTCTGTCCAGCAGCCCTCTGGAGCTTCCCATGACTTCACAGGAACACCAAAGTGCCCGACACAAAGTGCCCGGTCTTCAGCGGTTGCTGAAGAGAAAGCCAATTTCTGCCGATTCTTGCCCACTGACCAGTCCAGGTCTGTGCCTAGGACGGCTCTATTCTGCTCTGCTGCTTCCTCCTCCCCCCCCCCCCCCCCGCCCCCGCCACTTCCTCCCTTTGGTCCTTCCAAGCCTGCACATGGTGGCTGCTGCCCTTCCTTCCGATCACACATTCCTCTGACCATTTCTGCCGGTGCACACTTTCCCTTGCTCAGTCAGGCCCTGTCATCTTCAGATGACTGGAAGGGTCATCCGGAATGTATAATTTTGTCACTTCTTGACATCAGGAGGGGGAGCTCCCTGACAGAACCAGGCATGTCTACATACTCCTCATTGGACTAGTCCGGCATTCGTGCCTTAGTCAACCTCAGACTTGATTGTAAATCATCTAAAGATACCCTCTTATCTTGAATTGACTTAAGTAAGTTAAAAGGATCCAAAGATTCTTTAACCACTTTGGGTTAATCATTTACAGAGGCAACTATTTTTAGATCTCAGGAAATTAGGTAGTAAAAAGCTCACCACTACATTTTTGGTTCAGGTTTTCGTAATTTAGTATGAAATGATAAGGGCAAAGTCCTGCACGAAAGGGACACATTGCTCTACAGCATTTGTCTCCTCGTCTCAGAAAACAGCATCCATTCAGAAGAATAAAACGCTCTCATACAGGGACGTTATCAAACCTCCAGCAGCCTCGCTCCCTGATCAGTAAAAAGAAGATACTGTATGAGGAAATAGTTCGTCAAATATAAAAAGGCATTAAAATTTTGACTATAGGTATAAGATCTGAATTATTATTTGCAGTATTATTTGGGGAATCAAAGCCAAACCTTGAGTGCACACTCAGGCTTAGAGGTGGCAGCCATATCACAAGAACAGGGTCGTAAAGTTCTAAATGGGTTTTTTTTGCAAATGGTTTGTAAGTCAGTTGACATATTGAGACTGAAGCTTGTCTTACTTGCTTTGGGTTTTTTTTTACAGTGATATCTGGATATTCTTCTCTCTTACCTAAGTAATCATATCGCGTTCTAAATCAGCTGTTACAACAGGAACTACAACCAGAAACACTAGCACACTTCATACATACAGCAGGAGGACAGGCTTCCATGTCTGTGGCTCCGTCTCCAATCATGACTATTTTCTTGAAATGAAATTTTTCCTTTAAAAGTTTTATAACTTTTCCTTTCCCACCAGATTCGGCTGTTGGCTGCATCTCATCGAAACCTGCATATTCACCTTAAAAGAGCAGTTAAAACAGTGTCAGTGAGGGGCACCAGGGTGGCTTAGTCGGTTAAGCGTCTGACTTTCGCTTAGGTCATGATCTCGCGGTTCGTGGGTTCGAGCCCCGCGTCGGGCTCTGTGCTGACTGCCAGCTCAGAGCCTGGAGCCTGTTTCGGTCTGTGACTCCCTCTCTCTCTGACCCTCCCCTGCTC